CTCTCTCTCTCTCTCTCTCTCTCTCTCACACACACACACACCCTCAGATGATTCTTCTGAATAGCCAGAGTTGAGAACCACTGCATTTTAAACTGTATGAGTCATTGCTATTTTAGTGTAAATAAGATTTTCAGGAAGACAGTATGAGGATCTTTAGGCCCCAGCCCAGGCAGCTGAATCTTAGGAAGAGCTGAAGAGGGAATCCAGTCCCTCTCAGCCGGAAGAACCACTGAGCTTGTCTCCCGAGCCCCTCCTGCCAGAGGTTCCTGTCCTGTGAGATAGATGCCCATTCTAGCTGGCACTGGACCCAAGCAGCTGAGGACCCAGCCCAGCCTTGACAAGTATCTGGGCCGGGCCTGGCCACGGCGCTGTTCCCTGCAGCCTTGGGGGTTCCTGAGCCCTGTCTGACTCCATTACCCTCTTCTCTCACTCTCACCTGTTGTGTGGAGCCCTGACTGCTGCCCCTCTCCATTTGCACCCTCGCTGCAGCTACACTGGCCTGAGCTCCCTTTTCCCTCACCACCCGGCCTTTGCACATGCTTCTCCCGCCACCAGAATCCCTTTCTTTCCTACCCTCCTTTCCTCACCCCCAGATCCCTTTTCGTCACCCTCTGGAAGTCTCCCCTGACATACCTCCCATCGCCGAAGGTCAGGCCCTGCCACTGGCTAGGAGCCCCCCATGGGCCAGCCTGGCTGTGCTCATCCCTGTGGCCCTAAACCCCATGAGGGCTTAGTGTTGGGGAGGCAGGAAGGCACATGGGTGAGACCGGGCCGTGGCCTCTTACCAGCGGGGCCATCTCAGCCGGGTCTATTGTCCTCGCTCACTGTTTCCTCCTCTGAAAAATAGGGACATGGTAAAGTCTTCTTCATGGGGTCCTTGCAAGGAATAAAGAATACAATTGTATTTTCATGTTAAGGTTTGTTAAAAGAATGACAGTGAGATATAAGGAGTAGGGGGAAAATGAATGGGGGAAATCATCAAGTCAGGGAAGAAAAGTGATAAAAAGTTTAATTGGGAAAAAAAGTCTAACTTTCCTGGGAGGACAGAGGTTCCCTCTGGATTCAGCGGAGGGTCTGTGTGCGCCCCACTCCTTGTAGAGCCTCGGGGAACGTTGCCCCACAGTGTCCACCAGAAGCTCCCCCTACATCATACTCCATTCACATAGCGAGCTCACTGAACAAACAGCTTCAGGGAAAATCCCCAGCACCAGGGGGAGACCTGAGGTCACCCCCACCCCCAGCAGTGCTGGGTGAATCTCAGAGCAGGCAGGGGTGAGTTCCAGGGTTGTCACCGCTGGCTGTCGCCTGATGTGCCTCCTCCTCCCTTGGGAAATAGTGGTGTGAACTCTTTCCCTCGGGTTTGTCGTCTGCTGTGGGGGTGGCCTGGGGATCCACAGTTCGGTGCCCTCCCAACACATACATGGAGCAGGTGACTGAGCCACCGCTCCTCCCTGCTTCTCCCAGGGCACCTCCCCCACCTGGCCCTGCCTCTGCTGCACCCCACTACTTCCCACCGGGCAAAGCTGAAA